CTGTGTTTTCGGTCTTTCTGTGCAATTATGTTCTTGGTGCCTCTTCGCCTATCTCTTCTTCTTGCTTGCCTTCTTGTTATCTTCCATACTGCCAGATTGTAATTTCTATTTTTCTTCTTCCTTTTCTCCCCACTACTCTGTCTCTTCCACTCGACCTCCATCTAAACTCCTCTTACTCTTCTTTTCCTTCTCTCTTTTCTCCTTCTCCCTCCTTCCCCTTTACTCTCTTCTTCCTCACACCCCCTCTCCTCTTTCTTCTTCGTATTCTCTCTCCCTCCCTCATTTTACCGTAAATAATGATGATACCCGGATAACAAAGGCACGTTGGCACCGTTTTTTATGCTGTGTCTCGCTATTGATCACATAATGTGGTGAGTCACATGCGTGGCGGTGTTGGTGTCTGTTGTGTACGCGGAAATGAGGTGTAAATGTGCCGTGGGTATTCGAACATGACATTTTCTTGTATTTGCTCTAAATCGGTCGTATGTATATTGATAATGTGGTTATGATATCGATGAGGATAATGGTGATATTGCGAAGAGAGTTATGATTATGTTGAAATTGTTGATAATCACGAATTAAAATATAATATGTTCATAGATGATTCCATTTTCTTTGAATGGAATCACAAATCATGCGGAGACGAATTACAAAGGAATCTAGAATCAATTGAAGATTTTTTTTTATACTAAATAGCAAATATTGCTTGGCTGGATTACAGTAAGAATTAATTTTCCTTAAAGCGTGTCTATGTAATGGGGATTGGGAAAAATAATCGGCATATAATTTGTTCTATTTAACTTTGAAGCATCGGTGTCCCGATTACTGTTACTTCATTGGTATAGAATTACTGGAAATATTTATAGATATATCGTTGTTGGTTTTGATAACAATATTACTTATTCACATAACGCTCTTGTTTATACCGAACGGTGTTTTAGAAAAAATAAGTTACCCACACAATACCGCGTTTTCTATAAATGCAAAGGAATACTGTCATTTTCTTTGAATGCTATTTAGGATAAACTATTTCATATCCATGATGTAACATTTGCCTTACGTTCTGTAGTAGGTTATGAATTATCATGTGTACGAGAAAAATGCGATATATGTTATCGGAATTATAATCAAAATGGGGGGGGGGGGCATCCAATCAGAGGAAAAATAGTGATTTTGAAATTCATATCTAAATCGAATTGTGTTTATTTTATATTTCATATGTTTACATATTCAAAATATCCCCCTTTCTCATATCTCTTACTATCAAGGAGTTTGCTTCGGGTATCACCTGACCTCTGCACGCCACTGGATATTAATATCATTATTATAATTATTATCATCGTCATCTTTATTATTATTGTACGGGTGTGTAGACCTAGTAGCATTTATTAAGTGAACAGACGTAAGGTTCTAGGCCTACGGCACGCTGCCACCACCCGATTCGTAGGTTCGGGAACCGTGTGTGTTGTGTTTGTGGTCGTGACTGTTGAATAAAAGGAGGGAAGGATAATATAGAGTGTGTGTGGTGGATGTTGGATCCATGTGTGTAAGAGTGAAAAGGGAGATAGGCTGAGCGTCTTCGTGGACGTGTTTAGAAGAAAAAATAATTCCCTTCGGTTGAGCATCCGCCTGCTGGAAACTGTTGTATAGTGCTGTTTCCAGTCCAGTCTTTGTCTGTCTGTATGGCTGATATCATCCTAAATGACCTTTCACAACAAAAATAAAGTGATTGATAATCCTCTTCTCCAGCTAAACCCTTTTCCATTCCTGACTCAGGCCAAACTCCGCCCAATCACTCCCGAAACTAACCTGTGGCTGTGAACTCGGTCAACTGGACAGTACATTTCGGGGCAAGACAGGTATCAATAGACGGTTTCCGATGGCCTCTATTTCCTCTCGTTCTACCCACGGTGAAGGAGCCAGATTTGCAGCCTTTGATACGTGGATAATCCCTGCATCTTGGGGTGGGGTGGGTGGGGGGCTATGGGCGAGGATGCGAGGGCGCGGGTTGGGATGCAGTGGGCGTTTCCAGATGGGCGTTTCGGGATGGGCGAGAGTGCCGTTTTGGCTTGAGGATCTTTGTCTTTCGTTGACAGTTCTATCGTCATTACTATGGTCATTTTCATTTATACTATCATTGTTATTTTTATTACAATCATTACTTTTTTCCATTATCAGCATCATTTTCACAATTGTTATTATCATCATTATTATTTCTATGATCATCATTATCGTTATTATTTTCATGATTATTATCACTACTCCATGTTTACTCCTAGTTCCATCTGTGTTTACATATTAAGAATGATTCAGTACTAGGCCTTATACTCGAGTCTTCGGGACATACAAGCAAGGAGTCGGTCCGGGCTTCACTGCCACTGCCGATGCTTCAGATTCTAATGAGTCTTTCATGTTATTGTGAAATCCATCCCACCCACTTGACCAAAACCTTTTGATAAGCACTAATTCAGATTTTATGTTTTTTTTCTGATATAACTTTTAAAAATTGTGTAATAATCTGGTGAAAGAATAAAGATATCTGGCTGGATTAAGATATCATGTTTTAAATTCCAAACATATACTGTGATCAAGTATTTTCCTGTTTTTCCATACCTAATTCTTGTAAACAAGAATAACTCAAAAAGACGGTGAAAGATAAGATAAAAGCTATCGACCTCTACAGATGTTGATTACCAAATGTGTAGTACATTACAATACATAAATTTCCTTTTTCTCGAAAGTTCCATTAGGAAATTAATCATGGACGTCTTGTTGTTTTTTCTTCTATTGCAGATATATTGCATACATTATTCTCCAGATTACTAATCTATTCTATACTGCCTTTATTTTATCTTACATAATAATTTAGCATCAGAGTGATTAGGTAATACTAATCGGTTTGTCAGATATCGACCATTATTACTAAAATTATCCTTCACGGGGATTCATAGCTTTTACTTCCCCTGGGCTTTGTATAACATTATATTTTTTTCGAAATAATCAGCATGAATATTGTCATTTGCAATCTGGATTTTATCATTGTGTAATTCCACAATTGGTATCTATATGTTATTTATTTTTCCTAGTATCATTATATTTTAGAAAATTTATTTACACTTGATATACTTCCACAATCTCTATTATGTTTCACTTTGGTTCTTATTACTCTAATAAATTGTCCTGGAATACTGGTAAAGTCTGTTATACGTTTGGGACCATCCTAGTCAAAAAGAGAATGTGCTATAATGTCAACAAAGATTAATTTCATACTTTTGAAGACGTAGGAATGTATGGCAGAAGTATAATTTGAGGTAAAAGGCCGTGCAAGAAAATTATAGCATATTGAAGAGTATCGCTTCGAAAAATCTACAGCCAGAAATCCTTATAAATATAATTCGCAAAAAAATTAAAGACACTAGACTGAAATATATATATGTATATGCGTTGAGAATGAGAACAATGAAAGTTATAAAATTCATAATAGAGCAATTCATTAGGTTACCCCATCCTATGAGTGTAGCAGTAGCCTACATAACTATACCTTTCTCGTGCATGAAATAGTAAAGTGAAACTGACTGCAAAACATTGATTGCAAGTAATTTGAAGAGGAAAGAGTATGCTTAGCTTACAATCCGCATACATATCATTGAGGATAATTACCAAACGAGGAAACACAACTGCTCATTTCAGAAATAGATTGGATATACTTTCTTTTATGCATTTACTATTTGTAAACAATATAAGAGTAACAACTTTGCCGTTTCTTATGAAGATGATCAGCTCAGGACCCTCGTAAAATTGGGTGCTAACTTCTCTTCAGGTCAATGGAACAAACATATATATATACCCCGTATATATAGCTAGACAGAACCTTTCAAGTTTGAGGTCCTTGTAGGAAAATATAAATGCTAATCATGACTTCATATGACTTTTTAACTAAAGAACGTCAATAAGACTCTTTGGATATTTTATTCAGCAGTATCTAAAATGCAGGAGGATTCAGTGACTCACACATGCAGCCGAAAGGTGTGTTAAATCATTCAACTTTTTTTTTTTTTTTTTTTTTTTTTTTTTTTTTTTTTTTTTTTTTGCGAGAGTCAATATATCATACCAAGGGCGCCATTCCTCTGTCCTGGTATTGACTTTTCTTTTTTTTATTATATTTGTTTTATTTGCTTTCTGTTGCATGTATCAATTTTCTTTTGATTTGCTTTTTTTCTCTCTTCTAGATATGCTAGGTTCATGTCATCTTGATTACCTAACATGTCTTTTGATTTATTTTTTTATTGTTTCTACTATGAAGCCATAAATGGTAATTACGTATATCGAGTATATTTTTTTCCGTTTGTCATGTCTTTCTCTTTGGTTTATTTTTGTTTTGTTTATGTATGTTTCATTTATACTTACATCACACCATTTGAACACTATGTTGCCCTTGTTTTCGACCAAAATATGTAATACACGCTCAGTATCAATATGCATTCAGACATCAAAGTTGATATATTCCGTGTGTTTTACTTTATCGTACGGAATGCCAGATACGATTGTAAACTAACATACTTAGTGTAAATAAATGGATAGCAACACGAACATTGTACATTAGCCAATCAGCTTCCTAGCTATGGCTTCTGGTAGATATGAAGTAAGCCGACTGTAGTTGATCTGACATTCCATAGATGGCGGTGGCATGTTATATAGACGGGGGATCCTTGCCATAAGCTATATTTTCAGCTGGGGGATATACCAGCGTGACACATTCTAGAACCTGATTTCTCAGAGCAGGTATAAGTACATATCGAAACTAAAGGGTAAAAAAATACGTTTTAGAAAGGTAGAAGGTCCAGTTGATTATGAATATATCCTTTATGATTTTATATTAAGTGGCAAAAGAAAAAGATAATTTACACCTTACTATAATTTGTAATATCATCTTATGCTATTAATGATATCAATAAGAATAATAGCAGGGACTTTTACTTAGGTATAAATAAAAGTCTCTCTCGGTTTTTGTTTTATTTGACATCATCTAAAGACAAAGGAAGAGAAAACTGTTAGTTCAATATCACAAAACACTTCAGCTTGTGACTAGGAAGAACAAAAATATCAACAATTTACATTATATCTATTTTCACATAAAGAAAATATATTTCACTTGGCTCACTTAGCTTCAAATATATCGCGCTTTGCACGGACGGTACCCTCTGTAATGTACACTTTTGGTCTGTCCTTCACTCGAAAGGTGTCGCGGCGCTCGGGCCTCGAGCACGGCTGGCGACAGGACTTTGGTATTGCACAATCTTTGGTGCTGAATGACTTATTGCAGGGAGTCGAGGCTCCGTTGTTATTATGCACTGGGCAGGGCGTGCTTGATATGCTTATCAAGCGATGGCCAGTGTGGAGAGAACTGAACTTGTGGGTTAGCAGCGGCACCAAGCATCCCTGGCGGCGCACTCGGGACGAGGAGCGCCTCGGGCCGTCGGACCCCGTGCCCGACCCGATGTTCCTCTCGAAGAAGTCCACGATCTGACGGATGTCGGTGTCGACCTCGTGGTCCGACAGGCGGCTGCCCGGGATGATGTCCTCGCTCTCGCAGAGGGAGGAGAGGTCGCACGAGTGCTGGGGGTCGTGGCAGCAGCCGAGACTCGAGAGGTCCTCGGAGCTGTCGGTCACCACGGAGGAGGACCTTTGCACCAGGCAGTGGTGCCCCTGGTCGTCGTCCTCGGTGGAGATGAGCGAGGCCGTGCTCAGCTCCGAGTAGGAGAGGCACAGCTCGGGCGTGCCTATGCGCTCCACGTCCCCGACGCTAAAAAACCCGCTCTCGCCCGAGCCGCGGCGCCGCACGGGGCCCCCCAGGTGGTTGCTCTGTAGTACTGTGCCTCCTCCCTCGCCTCCGCTCCCGACGTCCGACCTGGGGCTGCTGCTGGCCGGCCCGTCCTCCTCCACGTGGCAGGGCGTCCTGCACAGGTCGTGCTGCCACACCGGCGGGCTGCCTTCTGCACTGGCAAGTCTACTAAACCTACACTTGTAGTCCGTCACGTCTTTGTCGCACACTTTCAACACTTTCCCACTGTGCACACACTGGCAATGTTTTCTGTTGTTGTCCACTTGTGACGAGAACTGTCTATGGCTAACATGGCACTGGCAATGAGCATTCGTCGAGTGAGGGCAGAGGCAGGAGTCCGACGTGTGCAGGTGCTTGTTGGTCTCCAGGCAGGACGAGTGGGCCAGGAGGCCGGGCGAGTCCGGGAGGGAGTGGCAGTAGCGGCCGCCCTCCTGGAGCACCAGTTGGGACCTCGCGGGGAGCTTCAGCTGTGCGAAGGGGTTCACGGTTCCTGTGGAAGGCTGGAAGTAGGGGTCCGCCGCGCTCATCTTCTCCACGATCTCCTGCGGCGTCACGGGCGTGGAGTCGGCCAGCGTGGTGACCGGGTGGGCGGCCCCGGGGCTGCTCGACAGGCAGCCCGCCTCCAGCATTTGGTTGCGCAGCAAGAGGAATGTGTCGTCGGACAGGGATCGCCGGTGACAGACTGTTGCGGGGAGAAAGGGCAGGGGTTACATATGCAGACACCTCAGTAAGGACAAAATGCAAATGGAGGAGAAACATATCTAAACATTAACAAAAATCTCCACTTCTAACACACCTGATATGTAAACACTATTATGTATCATTTCAAAAAACACAGATCAATAATCTAATAAAAAAAAAAAACATTTGTCATCTACAAAACCCACACACGTTACCTTTGATCTTCCTGGGCAGGTGGCGATGCGGCGGCGTGCTCAGCTGATGCAGGAGAGATTCTAACTTCGTGGTCAGCTCTTCAAAGGTCGGACGGGATGCTGGGTCAATCTGGAAATGGGGAAGGAAATTGTTGAACGTGATCGGGAAGAAGGCAAAACATGATTTTTGTTGGTTTATATTGACTTTTTCCTATCTACTTATGACTGTTATTATTACATTATTAATTTTCTTTTTATTTCTAACCTTCACTTGTTAAATCTATCGAATTATTATTGCTATTAGCACCATTTCTTACTGTTGTGCTGTACTTTCTCATATCATTTTTAATTTAATCTTAATCACTGTGATATCTTATAATCTAAATCTGTTATGGCATTGTGCTGAACTTTATCATTTTTTCAAAGAAAGAAGTTAATCCTAATCACTCTCATATCTTATCTAAATCTGTTATGGCATTATTTCTTTTATCTACCTATTTTCCCAGGTCACAATATTTTGATCCCTAAGAATAATGTTTATTACTTTTTTTTTTTTTACAAATAATCATACACTCCAAATCTTTATCAGTATAAGTGCATAAGCCTATAACACCCAACACAAACATTAGTACAAAAACAACTTCTACGAAATAATATCCAAGATAAAAGAAAAGAAAAAAAGAAAACAAGACGTCCTAAAAACTAACCCCCCCCCCAAAAAAAAACAATACTAAACAAATACTAATAAATAAATAAAACAATAAAAAAAAAAAAAAAAAAAAAAACAAACCCCAAACCCCTTCCTACCCCTCCCCTCCCACCCCACCCCCCCCTTTTCACACCGCCCCCCCCAAAAAAAAAAGTCCCACCCACCCTTCCAAAGTCCCCCCCCCCTCCCCCACCACCCTTCAACCCCCCCCCCCCCCGAAAAAAAAAGTCCCACCCCCCCCTTCCAAAGTCCCCACCCCCCACCCACCCCCCCCCAGCGAGCCCCCCACGCACCTGGGCAGCAGAGGAAGGCCATCTGCAGGAAGGCCGCCGGGCAGTCTTGTTGGCACATCTGGTAGAAGTCCAAGTAATGCACCCCGAAGTTGTGTGTCCTCGGCAGGATGTCGGGGTCGGCGTCGCATCTGCAAGGAGGGAAGCAAATTCAAATTCAAATTCAAAATTCAAGATTCACATTCAAGAAGGGAAGAGAATTAAATTTAAATTCAAAATTCAAAATTCAAAATTCAATTCAGATTCAAAATTCAAGAAGGGAAGAAAATTCAAATTCAGATTCAAATTCAAATTTCAAATTTCAAATTTAAATTCAAAATTCAAATTCAAGAAAGAAATTTTCAAAAATTCAATTCAAATTTCAAATTCAAATTCAAATTCAAATTTCAATTTAAAATTTAAAATCAAAATTCAAATTCAAGAAGAAGAAATTTCAAATTCAAATTCAAATTTCAAATTCAAAATTCAAATTCAAATTCAGATTCAAATTTCAAATTCGAGCACTTTATTCCATCAATTATGATGGGTATTCTATCTATATGCAAGGTGTTTATACTGTATTGCACTGCATTTGCAAACAAATTCAAATACTTTATATCATTAATTTCGATGGGTATTATATTAAGATGTTTACACTGTCATAAGATCGCACAAAAAGGTAATTTTTCGCTTCGTGTTTGAAAAATGTATAAGTGAATGAAGCATTGTGGAATCAGGGGGATTTTTTTTTTTTTTTTTTTTTTTTTTTTTTTTACTTTTTTTCGTCTGGAGGGAAATATGAAATTATTTTACTCTTGTTTGTTAAATGTAGTGTTGTAGTGTGGTGGTAAACAATAACATGTTTGCTGAAAAAAGACAAATCATAGATACTTATATGAATATGGATATATATGTGGTGTTGTGTGTGTGTGTGTGTGTGTGTGTGTGGCGTGTGCTGTATGCATGCGTGTGCGTTGTGTGTGTGTGTGTGTGTGCGTGTCGTGTGTGTGTGGTGTATATGTGTGTGTGTGTGTGGTGTGTGTGTGTGTGTGTGTGTGTGTGTGTGTGTGTGTGTGTGGGTGTGCGTGTTGTTGCGTGTGCGTGTGTACACACCACACACAAACACAAAAAGCCCAAACCAAACCCCACCTCGCAATCAGCTCGCATACGTGATCCGGAAGCTGAAGACGTCGACCGGTGTCGCTACCAGTCGCCGCGATGACCTTCCGTGGCGCCTCACCACCGTACGCCAAACCCCACCCTGACGGAGACGCCACCACGCCTGCCGGGGGAGCCAAGGGGAGAGCGGTTTAGATGGTGATACCGATGATTTTTTCACCGTGGGCGGTGTGTGAGAAGGGGGGGAGGGGAGGAAGGAGGGAGGGGAAGGATGAAGGGGAAAGATTGGGGTTTGATTGGGGGAGGGAAGGGTGAGGGTAGAGAGATTGAGTAAGGGGAAGGGGTGTGAGGAGGGGTGGGTTAAGTAGGAGGTAAGGGAGGGGATTAGGTTGAGAGGAGGGGAAGGGGGTTGGGGATTGAGGAAAGCTTCATAAAGGGTTATAGGGGTCGGTTGGGGTCCAAGAAAAGGGGGAAAAGGCTCGGGATTCGGATAATTAGGATGGAAAAGGCAGCACCTCCTTGGAACTGCCATCTATATCCCGACCAAAAGTCACATTAACTACCCACAACTATTTTCAAAAAAAACCTAACCACCAACCCCCCACCCCAATCCCTTTACACAAAAACAAACAAAAACCAACAATAAACCACTAATAACAACAATAGATCACAAGTCACATATTTCCAACCCCACACAACAAAAATCACAAAAACTACAAACTTTTCGTGTGGAATCGGGGCAGCCAAACCGAAGTCCGCGATAACAGCTGTTAACTTGTGTTCTCCACCCTCCTCTGTGTGCTTGATGAGCACATTCTGTCGAGGGACGAAAAACGTTGAAATTACGACATTCAGTTCGTGATTCCCTGGTTAAAAAGTATCCTAATTTTACGCTCGTTGCTCGTAAAAAGTATTAGTAAATTAGCTTAAATATATTAATGATAAAATAATCAGTATGAATGAAGCAGTTCTATAATATTTGATGTTCAAGGCAAGTAATAAAAATATTTCATGTGAAAAAAAGGATAATTCAAAAGAACAAATGAAAAGATTTCTATACATACTCTTAAAGGTAAAATATAATCAAACGAGAGTGAGAGAGAGAGAGAGAGAGAGAGAGAGAGAGAGAGAGAGAAGAGAGAGAGAGAGAGAGAGAGAGAGAGAGAGAGAGAGAGAGAGAGAGAAAGAAAGAGAGAAGAAAGAGAGAGAGAGAGAAAAGAGAAAGAAGAAAGAAAGAGAGAGAGAGAGAAGAGAGAGAGAACAGACAGACAGACAGAAGAGGAAAATCCTCCCAAACTCACCTTGGAAGTGAGATCTCTATGGAAGACGCCCTTGGAGTGCAGATACGCCATCCCGCGAGCCACGTCCAGCGCCAGGGACACGCGGGTCGCCCACGACAGCAGGACGGCGTGGTTCCCGATGAGGGCGTCGAGGGAACCGCCGTTGATGTACTGCAACGGAAGAGCGGCCGTTGTAGGGGCGAGGTCACAGAAAATGGGAGGATTATAGAAAACGGGATTATAGAAAATGGGGTCACAGAAAATTGGAGGATTATAGAAAATGGGGTCAAGAAAATGGAGGATTATAGAAATGGGGTCAAAATATTAAAAAGAAAATGGGAATTTAAGAAAATGGGGAATTTAAAGAAAATGGGAGATTATAGGGGGAATTTAGAGAAAATGGGGGTTGAAGAAAATGGAAATTTAAAGAAAATAGGGGGTTGAAGAAAATGTTGGGATTAAAGAAAATGGGGGATTATAGAAAATGTCGGGGATAGAGTAAATGGGGAATTTAAAGGAAATGGGGGGTTGAAGAAAATGGAGGATTAAGATTAAAGAAAATGTTGGGGTTTAAGAAAATGGGGTTTAAGAAAAGCAAGGGATCAAAGAAAATGGGATTAAAGAAAATTTGTGTAAAACGGTGAGATTTTTTTTTTTTATCTGTGTAGAGGTTAAAGATGTCAAAAAAAATAAATAATAATAATAAATAAATAAAAAAAGATAAAGATATTCGCATGTAAAAAAAGGAGAGAAAATGGGGTAAATGGATTATCAGAAAATGTTTAAATATACAGAATGTTTGGTGTTGTCCAGCAGATAATCAGTGAATCTTTTATGAATTGATTATCAACACGCAGTAAAAGGATATACTAATACTAGTGTTTCCTGTATCGTGAAAATCAATAATCAATAATAATAATAATAATATAATAATAATAATAATAAAATATAATAATAATAATAATAATAATAATAATAATATAATAATAATAATAATAATAATAACAATAACTACTACTACTACTAAAATAATATAAAAATAAATAAATAAACCTGAAGTAGGCAAAGGTAAATTGGATCCCGCATATCCACGCCTATAGACAGCGCCGGAGAAACCTTATTCAACATACTCGCGCTATATATAACTCGTAGAAGGCTGATGAGGGCTGCGGATGCCTCTGGTCCAATGCGCTGGCTTCCACTACGAGACTTTGGTGAATATTCCCAGTCGGTGAGGTCGGCGAATCACGTGGTTTAGCAGCTTGTTTTTATATAATTGTGAAAAGGGGGTATTTTGCTATCGAGGTTGAAGTGATTGGAGTCTGTTCCTCAGAGATCTGTCTGGTTTTCTTTCTCTTCTCTCTTTCTCTTTCCCTTGTCTCTCGTCCTTTCTCCTCTCCCCCTCTTCCTCCCTCTCCCTCCTCCTCCTCCCATCTCTCTCTCTCTCTCTCTCTCTCTCTCTCTCTCTCTCTCTCTCTCTCTCTCTCTCTCTCCTCTCTCTCTTCTCTCTCTCTCTCTCTCTCTCTATACTTTCTGTTGCGCCCCTCCCCTATCTCTTCTATCTCTCCCTTCCTCTGTATATATCTGGTTACTACTTCTTTCTGCCCCTCTCCCCTATCTCCCTCTCCCTCCCCTCCCTCCCTCTTCCTCTCTCTCTCTCTCTCTCTGGCGTTCGCTTCGCCATCCCACTGACATTAACTGGAAAAACACAATAGGGTATCTGTGCAAGAAGTCGCAAAGAATGCACACAAAGGCTAAAAAATATATAACGAACAAGCCAAACCCATAAAGATGAATTATAACGAAACGACTTTCAATCACGAATTGTCAGGGAGGCACCTCGGCGGCCAACTCGGTCATACACGGCCAAATAACCAAAGAAATAATTCAAATCCGTTATTGATTACCTCCAGTAAAAAAAAAAAAACAAAAAAACATGAACATGAAACTTGTATCACACTTGTTTTGAACACGTGCATAAACCTTCACCCGATTTGAACACCGAACGCAGAAGCCAGTCATCGCACCAAATTCCTCCCCACCCACCTACGTAAACAAAAACAAAAGAGAGAAAAAAAGAAAAAAAAATCAAAAATGTTCAAAAAGATAAATACACATCCCCTCGTTCAACCGCCGGCCATGTTCAAATAAGCATCACTGTTGAACAACGCTTTTCGTCTCAATGGAGCCTTTGTTGTGTAAAACATCCATTCCCGCTTTCATGGCCTGATGAGGTGTCTCGTCTTATCCGAAACGTTTATTGGCCTTTTCCTAGTGCGGTTGTGTATCGGTATGTCCGCAAATTGTGTATATGTAAGCACGTATATCAGAATAAAAGTGAGCATAAAAATTGCTTACATATGCAAATTACGTATATATAAGCATGTATTTCAGAATAAAAGTGAGCATAATTACAAATAAGTTGTACATACGCAAATTGTGTATATGTAAGCACGTATATCAGAATAAAAGTGAGCATAAAAATTGCAAATAAATTGGTACATATGCAAATTACGTATATATAAGCATGTATTTCATAAGTTGGTACATACGCAAATGTGTATATGTAAGCACGTATATCAGAATAAAAAGCATAAAAATTGCAAATAAATTGTACATATGGTATATATAAGCATGTATTTCAGAAGTGAGCATAATTACAAATAAGTTGGTACATACGCAAATTGTGTATATGTAAGCACGTATATCAGAATACAATTGAACATAAAAAAAAATACAAATAAGTTGGTACATATGCAAATTACGTATATATAAGCATGTATTTCAGAATAAAAGTGAGCATATTACAAATAAGTTGGTACATACGCAAATTGTGTATATGTAAGCACGTATATCAGAATACAATTGAACATAAAAAAAAAAATACAAATAAGTTGATATATACGTAAATTGTTTATATGTAACCACGTATTTCAGAATAAAAGTGAGCATAAAGATTACAAATAAGTTGGTACATACGCAAATTGTGTTTATGTAAGCACGTATATCAGAATACAATTGAACATAAAAAAAAATACAAATAAGTTGATATATACGTAAATTGTGTATATGTAAGCACGTATATCAGGATATTATTGAACATAAAAAAATACAAGTAAGTTGGTGCATACGCAAATTGTGTATATGTAACCACGTATTTCAGAATACAATTGAGCATAAAAACTACAAATAAATATACGAATCTATTGCAAAGTAAGCAAATCCATTACAAATAACCATGCAAAATACAGTATGCCAATAAAACATACATCATCTAATCACTTTAAACACAAGTATAAAAACCAAGAGAAGATTCTCACCTCTGTTAAAGCATGAACTTGTCCTTCATTCACGCAAACACCGTAATAGCTGGAAAAAAAAGAAAAAAGAGAAAAAAAACATTAATTAAATCAACGCCACAATGACAATGGAAAATATTCATAACTCTTAAAAAAATATTAATGAAATCAACACCACAAACGCCACATGACAATGGAAAATATTCATAACTCTTTCGTGGCATTAATTTTTTTCCCTTTGTTTTTCCTGAGAGCTATTTTTTAAAAAAAGTGCATCAATTCACATCAAAGTTGACGTTAATATACACATTTGAGAAACTTTACACGTTTGTAGACATTATAGTTGGCAGCTCTTTTGGGGGAATTCCATACAAATAATTATCTTTCAAGGCTGAGAGTGACGGAGAGGAGGAGAGGGAAGGGAGAGGGAGAGAGAAGGAGGGGAGGAGGAGGAGAGGTAGAAGGGGGAGAAGGGGAGAAGGGGAGAGGAGAGGGAGGAAGAGAAGGAGAGGGGAGAGGGGAGAGGGAGAGGGGGAGAGGGGAGAGGAGAGAGAGGAGGAGAGGAGAGAGAGAGAGAGAGAGAGAGAGAGAGAGAGAGAGAGAGAGAGAGAGAGAGAGAGAGAGAGAGAGAGAGAGAGAGAGAGGAGAGAGAGAGAGAGAGAGAGAGAGAGAGAGAGGAGAGGGAGAGGGAGATGGAGATGGAGGCAGGAGAAGGAGAGGAAGACAGAAGAGGGCGATGGAGAGATGAGAGAGAGAGAGAGAGAGAGATAGAAGGGGAAAAGGGAGAGATGGAAACAGGAGAGGGAGAGAAAGGGGATGAGTGTGAAGGAGGGGAAGAGTGACACATACACTATAAGGAATATTTAATTAATGATGATGATGATGAAAATAATGATGATAACAGTATCAATAATAGTAGAATAATAAAAGCAAAAAAGAAAAAAATAATATGAAGAAAACGATGATGAAGAAACATGACAAAAGATGAAGGAGAAGAAAAAAAGAAGCAGAAGAAAAAGAAAGGTGGCTTAGAAGAAATAGAAGGAAAAGGGAACCCTAAAACCAACAAAAAGAGAAAGAATAAGAATAAATGAAAAAAAAAAAAAAATAAATAAATAAAATAAATAAAAAATAAAACACTCACCTTAAGATATTCGGGTGATGGAGTCTGTTCATGAGCTCGACCTCCCTCAGCATATTGTGCCGGTTGCTGAGCAGTTTGTTCATCTTGAGCACCATGACGTCACCTGTCACACGGTGCCGCACCTGCAATCAGGGGAGAAAGAGGTTAAAATTGGGGAGAATGGGGGAGACACTTGAACAAGGGGGGAGGGGGTGAAGTGGGGGAGATAGGGAGGGAGGGAGGAGTGGATAAGGTGAATAAGGGGGGTGGGTGAAGGGGGGAGTAGATAGATAGATAGATAGAGAGATGGGAGGGAGGAGGGGGAAACAGGAAGAAGGGGAGGGAGGAGGGAGGTAGAGGCTAGAAAGGAGGGAGTGAGGGGGAGGAGAAAGAGGAAAAAAGGAGAGGGCAGGAGGGGAGATAAAGGGAAAAGGAGGGGAGGTTAAAGGGGAGAAGTATTAACACGTCTACAGAGAAATCACACACACACACACAGAAACAAAGCAATAATAATAATAATAATAATAATAATAATAATAATAATAATAATAATAATAATAATAATAATAAGAAGAAATAAAAAATAAAAATAAAAATATATGAACAAACCATAAAAAAAACAAAACAAAAAACAAGGAAATTCACCTGTGTCCCCCCTCCCCCCCCCCCCTCCACCTCTCGTTCCCACACTCTCAACCTTCTCACGCAGACAAATCTCGCTCTAACATCACAATGGGAATAAAAATAATCAAAAATAGATACGAATAATAACAACAGCTAGAAAAAAAACACTTTACGTTTACAAAACAACAATAACGAACAAACACACAAACAAACAAAGCACTAACGGAAAAATAACCGTAGTTCCGGCTAACCTTGAAAATGTCGTTATTTACAAAAAAAAAAAATCTTTCACGTCGGGACCCAATGATTTAAAATATTAAAATAACTCAGTAGAATAAATAAATAAATAAATAAATATAAGAAAAAAAAAAAACGGTACAGTTCCCAAATGTTGCACACAAACTCCCGAAAAAAAATAAATGAATCTATAAAATACAAAAGAGAAAATAAAAGACAACAAAAGAAATCGTTTCTCCCAAAACATACATTTTTTTCTCGTCTGATGCAAGTTCGAAAAAAAAAAAATAATAAATAAATAAATAAAAAACGGAAAATACCATATGATCAAAAAGCCCCTTAGCATAATGGGGCAAAAATGTCAAAAATGACGATTTCTCTGCACTAAACATGGGCGGGCGTATCTCCGCCATCATTCTGTTTTTCTTTTTCTTTTTCTTTTCATGTACATGTGAACGATATTATATTAGATATCAAAGTCACGAAAATGAGTGGTATGAGGGAGAGGGAGAGAAGGAGAGAGAGAGAAAGGGAGAGAGGGAGAGAGAGGGGGGAGGAGAGAGAGAGAGAGAGAGAGAGAGAGAAGAGAGAGAAGAGAGAGAGAGAGAGAGAGAGAGAGAGAGAGAGAGAGAGAGAAGAGAGAGAGGAGAGAGAGAGAGAGAAAGAGAGAAAGAGAGAGAGAGAGAGAGGAGAAAAACAAAGAGAAAGAGAGAAAATAGAAAAAAAAAAGAAAGAAAAACAAAGAGAAAATCAGAAAAAGAAAGAAAGACAAGACAACGTCACACAGAACCCAAGATTTCTCTCGCCTTCGAACCGCCAGCTTCCCCAGATGGAACCGAGATAATAATGATAATAAAAAAAAAGTAATTTCCTTCAAGTTCCATAAAATCCCCCCGAAAGATGAGAAGTGTTAAAATAGCTAATCAACCTGCTTATTTTTTTTTTTTTTCTTAGTTATCTATCTTCTTCTATTCCTTTTTTTCCTTCTTTTTTTTCTTTTTTCCTCCTCCTTCTCCTTATTTTTATTCTCTTCTTCCTCTTCGCTCTACTATTTCTTTTTTATTATTCTAGTTTTTATTTTACTCTTTTACTTTCTTCTTCCTCTTTTTCCTCATCTTTCTTCCTTTCCTCTTTCCCTTTTCCCTCATTCTAGATTTTTTCTCCTTAATTCTTTTCTCCTATTCCTCCTCGTTTTCCCTTTTTTCTTCCCCTCCTCCTTTCCTCTCCTTCCCCTCCTTCTTCTTTCTTCTCTCCTCCTCCTCTTTCTTCCTTCATTCTACTTCTCCGCCCATACTTCATACTTCCTCTTTCTTCTTTCCCTTTCACCCATTCCTTCATTCATCAATCCCTTTCTCTTCCTCCTTTATTCCCCTTCTTCCCCACTTAACTCCTAGATTTTTTTTATCATATAATCTCTCATTTTCTCGAGCCTTCCATCACACACTCCTTTCTCTGTCTCTGTCTCTGTCCTCTCCCTCCTCCCTCCCTCCCTTCCCTCCCTCCCCCCCCTCTCTCTCATCAGTCCCTCTCTCTACCTCCTCTTCCTCCTTTATCCATCTTCCTCCCCACAACTCTAAATTTTTCATCATATAATCTCAAATTTTCCCAAGCCTTCCATACGTCAAAACTCCCTTCCTCAAATATGGCAGTGACACCCAGCCTTCCTCTGATGACGTCATCTTCTATATTCAGCCGACTCGGTCATCTTAAAACCGCTAAAATCAGGCGCTTCCTGCTATTTAAAGATTCCCGCTACCTATAAACCCTTTCTGCTAAATATGTGCGTTTATTCGTTTCTCTTCTCTTTCTATCCTTTTTTGCCTGTTTTCTTTTTCTCCGTATTTATTTATTTTTCTCTCGTTTCCTTCTTTATTTATAATTCTCAATTTTTTCCTCTTTCGTTTCTCTTCGCTGGCAGTTTTGCTCCCTCTGTCTCTCTCCCTTCACTTCCTCCTGATTCTTTCACTCTTCTCCTCCTCTATTCTCTCTTCCCTCTCCCCTTCCTTCGATTTCTCTCCTCTCCTTCCCTTCCTTCTCTCGATCTCCTCTCTCTCTCCCCTCCCTTCCTCCCTCCTTCTCTATATCTTCCCTCTTCATCTCCTCCCTCCTTCTCCCCTCTCTCTCTCCCTCCATCTCTTCCTTCTCCCCTCATTCCCTTCCTCCTTCCCTCCATCTCCCCTCTTCATCATCTCTTCATCTCCTCCCCTCCTTCTCCCCTCTCTTCCTCCCCTCCCCTTATCCACTCCTTCGCAACTGCGTCACCGGAAGCAGGGGGACGCAACTCCAGCCCGCAAACCTGTCACCTTTTGACAATTTTATGACACGTTTTGGTCAGTCATAAAAAGAAAAAAAAAATGTCAAGCGAAAAAAAATCTCAAGAAAAAAAGTAAAAAAAAAAAAAAAAAAGTAAAAAAAAGTCATGTGAGAAAGAAAGGAAGAAAAAAGGAATGAATAAAAGTTAAAGGAAGGAAGAAAGAAAAAAGGAATGAATAAAAGTAAAAAAAAAAAGGTAGAAAAAAGTCATGAGTAAACGTAAGAGAAAGAAAGGAAGAAAAAAGGAATGAATAAAAGTTAAAGGAAGGAAGAAAGAAAAGAGAATGAATAAAAAGAAAGAAAAGGAAAAATAATGAATAAAAGTAAAAGAAAAAGAAAAAAAGTTATGAATAAAAATGAAAGAAACAGAAAAAAGTCATGAATAAAAGTAAGAGAAAAAAGAAAGATAAAAAGTCATGAATAAAAGTAAAAAAGAAAGAAAAAAGTCATGAATAAAAAAATAAAGTAAAAGAAAGAAAAAAATCATGAATAAAATTAAAAGAAACAAAAATTAAAAAAGTCATGAATAAAATCAAAAAGTAAAAAAAAGGAAGAAAAAAAAGTTAAAAAAGAGATCGGAATTTCTGGTCATTAAAGGCATATATATTTTTTCTCTTCTTCTCTCTAATCCGGCAATAAATTCATAAATCTAACCCTATCCCGTACCCCTCCCCCTCTACCCCTCCCCTGTTATGTGTGTGTGTGTGTGTGTGTGTGTGTGTGTGTGTGTGTGTGTGTGTGTGTGTGTGTGTGTGTGTGTGGTGTGTGTGTGTGTGTGTGTGTGTGTGTGTGTGTGTGTGTGTGTGTGTGGTGTGTGTGTGTGTGTGTGTGTGTGGTGTGTGTGGTGTGTGTGTGTGGTGTGTTTTGTGTGCATGTGCGTGTCCGTATGTGTGTTCGTGCCCGTGTACGTGTTCATATGCATGTGTGCGCGCGCGTATGTGTGTGTGTATGTGTGTGTCCGTGAGCATATACGTGCGTACATGCGTGTGCTTGCACTGTGTATTTACTCATTGCAGGGGAAGAAGGGCACGCACTCGGTTGCAAAAAAGACATTAAGTAAAATATGAAAAGGTCAAGTAGCTGAAAAGCAGATAATGGAGGCAGTCACATGGAGGGGGGAGGGGGGGGGGCGAGGAAGTAGGAAAGGGAAGAGAGAGAGAGAGGGGGAGAGCGAAGGGATGGGGATAGAGATAGATAGATAGATAGATAGAGGGAGGGATAGATAGAGTGAGAGAGAGAGAGAGAGAGAGAGAGAGAGAGAGAGAGAGAGAGAGAGAGAGAGAGAGAGAGAGAGAGAGAGAGAGAGAGAGAGAGAGAGAGAGAGAGAGAGAGAGAGAGAGAGAGAGAGAGAGAGAGAGAGAGAGAGAGAGAGAGAGAGAGAGAGAGAGAGAGAGAGAGAGAGAGAGAGAGAATAGATAGATAGATAGATAGAGAGTAGGGGAGGGGCGTGGCAAGAATTACACGTCAAAATCCCTCCCTCCCTCTCCCCCCTTCTTCCCCTTTCCCCACCACCCCACCCCCACCCCTCAACCAAGCCGCCCGAAGACTAAACTTAAACCCGGTATAAACATCCGGTTCAAACGCCCATGGTCCAACGTCACGCCCTCACCACGCCGCCCACTGCCTACAGCCAGAACATCCCCCCCCATCCCCCGCCTCGCTTCCCATCTCCCCCATGCACCCCCTTCCTCTCGTCTACCTACCCCTTCTCTTCCCATCCACCTCCCTTTTACTCTCCTTCCCTTCCCTTCCCTCCCTTTCTTCTCCTTCCTTACCCCTCCTTCGCCTTCCCACCTAATTTTTATCCCCTCCCTCTCCCCTCCTCATCTACCTCATTCCCTCCCCTCCCTTTCTTTCCACCTTCTCTCTCTCCCCCTCATCTACCTCCTTCCCTGCCTCTTCCATACCTCCTTCCCTCCCCTCCCATACCCCCTTCCCCCCCCTCCCTCTTCCACCTTCCTCCCCCTTC